CCCCTAACAGCCTTTAGAAAGCCCCATGTGACCTCATTGGCCAATCAAGTTGAAAGCATTAAAGCCACCTTTTGTCCATCCTAATTTCTTTGTTCAACATACAGTATATTAATCTTAGTGCACCCCACCACTAGTTAGAACTGAAGAAGCCGAAATGTCTTAGATGTCTTAAATGTCCTAGAAAACCTCACGTCCAATTGCCTAAACTGAACTTTTTAGGCTTGACCACATAGAGATGACTGCCTATTGGACTATTATACTTGGTTTGAAATTACAGACAGTGTTAAATGCAACCTGCAGTGCTGGAAAAAGTTCTGCATCTTCCATAACAGACAGATACTGAAATATCGAAAGAGGCTACTGCAGACATACTGTATCTCAGATAGCCATAGTAAAAATGTGTACCATTAAATAGTTTCTAACATCTCTGAGTTTCTTCTGGTGAAGTTTAAAACATACACTACCTGGCCAAATAAAAAAGTCACCACCAAAAAAAAGGTCACTCACTCTAATACTTTGTTGGACCCCCTTTAGCTTTGATTACGGCACGCATTCACTGTGGCATTGTTTCGATAAGCTTCTGCAATGTCAAAAGATTTATTTCCATCCAGTGTTGCATTCATTTTTCACCAAGATCTTGCATTGATGATGGTAGAGTCTGACCGCTGCGCAAAGCCCTCTCTAGCACATCCCAAAGATTCTCAATGGGGTTGAGGTCTGGACTCTGTGGTGGCCAATCCATGTGTGAAAATTATGTGTCATGCTCCCTGAACCAGTCTTTCACAATTTGAGCCCGATGAATCCTGGCATTGTCATCTTGGAATATGTCTGTGCCATCAGGGAAGAAAAAGTCCATTGATGGAATAACCTGGTCATTCAGTATAGTCAGTTGATCTCATTCTTTGAGCACATACTGTTGCTGAACCTAGACCTGAGCAACTGCAGCAACCCCAGATCATAACACCGCCCCCACAAGCTTGTACAGTCGGCACTAGGCATGGTGGGTGCATCACTTCACCTGCCTCTCTTCTTACCCTGATTCACCCATCACTCTGGAACAGGGTAAATCTGGACTCATCAGACCACATGACCTTCTTCCATTGCTCAACAGTCCAATCTCTATGCTCCCTAGCAAATTGAAGCTTTTTTTTCCGGTTAATCTCACTGATTAGTGGTTTTCTTACGGCTACACAGCTGTTCAGTCCCAATCCCTTGAGTTCCCTTCTCATTGTGCGTGAGGAAATGCTCTTACTTTCAGTATTAAACATAGCCCTGAGTTCTACTGTTGTTTTTCTTCGATTTGATCTCACCACACGTTTAAGTGATTGCGATCACAATCATTCAGGATTTTTTTCCGGCCCAATTTCTTCCTTGAAGATGATGGGTCCCCACTATCCTTCCAGTTTTTTATAATGCGTTGGACAGTTCTTAACCCAATTTTAGTAGTTTCTGCAATCTCTTTAGATGTTTTCTCTGCTTGATGCATGCCAATGATTTGACCCTTCTCAAACAGACTAACATCTTTTCCATGACCACGGGATGTGTCTTTCCACATGGTTGTTTAGGAAATGAGAAGCAAGTCATCGCACCAGTTGGGGTTAAATAACTTGTTGCCGGCTGAAAGATAATCGCCCATGCAGTAATTATCCAATAGGAGGCTCGTACCTATGCTTAGTTGAATCCAGGTGGTGACTTTTTTTTGGCCTGGCAGTGTAGTACTGCAAGCGAAAATAGCCAACTCTGCATCTTATTCAGTAAAGAAGTGTTGTTCACGGGGAGGATCTGGTTGCATGTAGCTACTGTGTGGTGCATTCACTGATAGGGAAAATATCCTATTTTTGAATTGCAGTCAGAATTCTGCCTGAACTCTGAGTGCAAACATTGATTTACTGCAGCATTCTTCAAATCAAGATATACAAAATCTGATTCCTGAAAACAGAAACTGCTATCAGACAGAAGGTTTTTAACCTTAGTACCAAGCAGCTCTGGATCTCATAAACACTGGCTGCATTGTTACACAGTCATATGTTGCTGAATAGCAGTGATGTTGTAGCACAAACCAGTGTTTCACACTGTGAACACTGTCTGTTCTCACAATCTGCTCCTCTTTCACCGACACATGCACACACCGGTGTCATGCGGTTGTGTGGTACTCCTGATGATGATAGTTGCTGTATAACATTTCTCTGCATCGAGGCTCCTCGGCCCACTGCAGCATCAGAAATGGGACTTCAGTCCTGTTATATAATGCATGATTTTCACCTCCATTCATTTTCTACTCTCAGCAGCCTTGACATTGTGAACAGCGTGCTTTTTACAGCAGAGAGTCAGAGCCAACCATATATTATCAGCTGACTTTATTTTTAGATATATGAGATGAAATGGGCATGGTTGATGGGAGGGTTGTGATCCTTTTTTTTTTTTGCCTTTTGATCTCCTGTTTTTCTTTGAATTTTAAAACAAATTCATTTAGTTAAATGTGTCAAAAAGGATATTTTAACAGCTTAAAAAAACAGTCATGTTTAATTGCTAGTTTTTTAGGCAAATTTTAATCCCTTTGGGATTAACCATGAAAGTTACTGATGCTGTAAAACCAGCCAGCTGGACAAGGTTTTGGATTAAAGTTGTAGGGAAGTCATATTTAAATGTCAAAGCATTCCGCCTTAAACATGTATATAAATGTACTCTTTATCAGACCATATTATCTCAAAACTTAAAAAATTTCTATTAAAAAAGAAATCCTGTCTTAAAATGTGTGGAGGTTTTTTCATTATTTTATGGAGGCCAGTTAGTTATACGTCAGCCTGAACACCTAAATTCGGCCAATCATATATCAACGGTCATCTGTCAATCAAATTATTTTCGCTCATAGCATCTTTATTCATGTGTCACAGCTAATATACGGTATGGTTGAAATCAGAATCATTTCCTTTCCCATTGAGTTCCGTCCCAGTGTTCACGGGGATGGACGTCTGTGTCTTCAGCAGGCGTAGAGCTAACAGAACTGGCAGCGTTGCGAGGCAAGGGCTCAAACATGTACGGCTGGAAGCCTTCTACACCAAACCAAGCTTCTGCCGCCCTGGCGTCCTCTTCCACAACATCTACACACCACTTTCCTCCTCTAAATGAAAAATGTATGACTGAGGAGACTCATCCACGACTTCCGACACTAAACTCTCCTCCTCTTGCATGTTTCCTCTGTCCATAGCGTTCCTTGACAGTGTCATTTCTAAGTCACCAATTTAGTGCTACTTGGTCCCAATGGAATTTCCCATTGGGAACCTACTAGCACTAAGTTGCTAACTGGTTAGGTAGATGCTTACGAGAAACCGGCCAGAAACAAACATGCTTGCGAACCTTCTGCCAAAGGAAACAGAAATTATAGAGCAGCAAAGTAAAAATGCTCTGCAAATACATACATTTACAAATGACTTAAAGAAGCACTTGTCTTTTCTTTATTTAAGTTCAAATGGTGTCTGGCTGTTTTTATAAGATGGATAATCTTCTCTGTGCTTCATAAACAGTCTTTTCTTAACTTATTTGCAGTGAATCTGACTGCATGCTTGTGTTAAATTACTTAGGTTAGTTTATCACAGCAGATAGATGCTGTAGCAGCTCATGCTAACTGGCTACTTGTTTGTTTATTGAAACGTTGTTTATGGTCTAGACTCTAGAGCAGTGGTGCTGAAGTCCAGTCCTCAAAAGCAACCATCCTGTAATCTTTAGGCTACATTCACACTGCAGGCCTTGATGCTCAATTCTGAAATTTTTTTGTGAAATCCGATTTTTTTTGTGTTGCCGTTCATATTTCCAAATATATGCGACTTGTATGTGATCTCATGTGTGAACTGCATTCATACAACTTAAGTGTCTCACATCGGAGTAGAGGACGCAATGACGTCATAGGCCAGCGTGCTCTGTGTTTACGGAAGTTAACATGGATGGTAGTACCGGCGCGCATCTAGTGGTCTTTTCCAACCATAAAAATTAAATCTTTTCAATATGGTTAAATATAAATACTACTCTCCGCATTATCATTCAAAATTTAGCATTACTCTTTATCTTTCAGGTTGTTGTTTTTTAAATGCATGAAGGGTGTATTTTCTGACTCATCTAGTAGAATAGCTTTAAACAGATTTTGAGTCAGTGGTTCATATAAACCAAAGCTATTGAAGAAGAACAGTAATTTTGCTATTAAAGGGTTACTACTAAAGGCTAAAATACGAAAAGGCTTAAAATGCAAGGAAAAACGGAGTATGTCTCATATGCCCAGGCTAGTAGAAAAATTCATACAGATTTTGAGTCAGTGGTTCACATGACATAGAAGCTATTGAGGAAAAAATCTAAACTTTGACAACAAAAAAAATCTTTAAAAATATGAAAAATACTTCAAATTAAATTAAAATATGTGCCTCATTTATGTAATCTAGTAGCAGGATTTACCATTGATTGTGTTTCACTTGGCCACAAGACAATTTATTAGTTCAGAAGTTTGTAAGTGAAGCACCGGCCGTAAGAAGAGGCAGTAGCTGAAAGCGGTGACAGGTGCCACTAACTCAGCAGAGTTTGAGCTTTTTGATTTTCAAATGTAGGATAAGAAGACTTTAAAAACGAAAGTCTGGATAAGTTAGTTAAAAGGTTATGCTGTAAGATTCTAAGACACACAAAGACTGTTTAATTTTTCAACAGTGCAGTTTTTACCAGTGGCCTTTAAGGGCACCATACCATGAAATTACAGACCCAGCGCCCCCAAAGTGGCTAAAAGTTATACAGCGCTGATTTTACTCGCAGTTCGTGTTTACTCAACACAACTTTTCTTTCTGTCTTTTGTGTCTGTGTGTTAATCTATCTTTTTTATTTGGATAACTTTATATCAGTTGATGCTTAGTCTGTTATGGTCCGTTTGGTATGGTGAGCCACCAGCCAGTTTCTGCTTAACTCACTTAAGAGACCAAAAATGGAAAACTTGTGATTTCATAATGCTTTTTTCCCCCACACAGAACTGAGTTTAAGGCGTATAAAGATGTGAAGCCAGTGAAGATGATTCGTGCAAAGTCTCAGTACCTGCCTCCAGATGAAAAGACGAGCTTAGAGACCAGCTACAGCGCCAACTTTAAGGGACTCGCTCCACTGCAGCCCGCTGACAACAAGGCCCAGGAGAGGAGGAGGATACGCAGTCTGTACAGCGAGCCCTACATAGACCCCATCAAACAGGTGAGACTACCTACGTCTCAACTTGTAGTGCTGTAGTGATTGTCTAAGTGAGTCTAGACAATGAAAAAGGGATTTATAACAAACTTGTTGGGGTTTTCTTACCCCACCTTCACATTTTGCTCATCTCCTTGTGCCTGTGGGCAAAATAAGAATTGACAATGGGCTGGAGAAGAAAACCATTCTTTCCCATGTCCAGTAAAACCTTCTCACTTTTTATCACATTACAACCAGAAACCTCAGTGTAAATTATTGGAATTTTATGCTAAAAACCTACAAAATCAAATGGAGCCAGAAAATAATCTAAAAAGGTTGGCATGCACCTCTATTCAGCCCTTCTACTCTGACTCGCCTACTTAGCTTCAGAAGAAGTGCGTGGAATCACACCCAAAACGGTCTTTGTTCTGCTTCTTTGGAGTGGACCAAATGCAAACCCAATTTTTTATCGTTAGGTTTGGTTTGCATTCAATTCATACTTTTTGTAAGTGGACTACTGCTCTCAACAACGCCCCATTGGACAGAAATGATTAGGGCAGGACAGAGGTCAGACCTGGAAGATAAAGCAGACTCCAACAGGAGACCTTGCAGCGCCCCTGTCTAGACCCGGCATGCCCAAAGTCGGTCCTCGAGGCCCGCTGTCCTGCAGGTTTTAGAGGTTTCTCTGCTTTAGCACAGCTGATTCTGATGATTGCAGTTCAGCAAAACCCTGTTAATCAGCTAACAATGGAAATCAGCTGTGCTGAAGCAGGGAAACCTCTAAAACCTGCAGGACAGCGGCCCTCGAGGACCGACTTTGGGGATGCCTGGTCTAGACGGTAGCTCAACAAAAGGCACGCTATCCAGTCATAGCTGCTGGACTCCCTAAACTCCAGAGGATGTGATTGACCCAGGGACGCTTTGTTACCTTTCCAAAGTAAATGAATTACACCACCCACTCCATCTAATCTGGATCCACCGTGTTAAAGTGAAACCAACATGCAGCGGCTGAATTCCCTGGGGTTAGGTTATCCTGAGCTATCTTTATAGTTATGCTGCTATAGGCTTTGACTGCTGGAGGACATAGGGCCCATTTTCATCATTCTGCTTTATCCTATCTCTGTTCTGCCATTCAGCAGTATTTGTTATTTCCACCCCTAACTGTATCTCTTTTGTCCTCTGTCATCGGAATTGACCTTGCTATCTTTTCTGGACAGGGCCACCTGGGGAGCTAGTTGTATCTCGGCTTTTTTTTTAAGATCTTCTTCTGTCTCCTACCCCAGTCGGCCTCTGCAGAAGGCGGCTCACACTGAGCCTGGCTCTGCAGGAGGTTTCTTTCTGTTAAAATTGATTTTTTTTTGCTCTCCACTGTCACTACATACATGCTTAGTTTGAGGGATTGCTGGTTGAATTGTCTCTGTAAAGTGCCTTGAGATGACATGTGTTGTGATTTGGCGCTATAAAAATAAACTGAATTGAATAGATTAAATAGTCGAGCATTACGCTTACTAGGCAAATATCTGAAAAAGTATCAGGTAAGCAAAAGCGCTCAAAAGTGGCGATTTTCTAACTGGTTTTACAATTTGAGTGAACGCACCATATGGTTATAAAAAATATCTCAAATTCTAAAATGTCACCAATCGATCCATGCTCCTATCATGGACAGTGTATGCTACAACCTTCACCTAAACAAGATGTTATTAGCGAAACCTGTGGAAGAGCTGCAGAGATCCACTGCTCACTGCCAGGACAGCTACAGTAGGAGTCATGCTCTTCACAATGCTGGCTTTTATGAAACTGGAGCAAAAAGAAAGCCTTTTGTTGCCAGAAAATCTAAAAACAAAACTAGTTTAATGATTGCTGCAAGCTACGTAGGAAGCATAACATGTGAAAGAAGGACTGCGGTCAGATGAGACCAAAGTTGAACTGGAATCTAAACCTGAGCTTTTTCTAAAAGAGGAAAGGGCAAAAATCTCTCTGATCTGATGATTTGAAACATAATCACCAGTCAAGTTCAATTGGCAACCAAAATTTTTTCCAATACCACAGATTTTGTTGGTGTTGTGTAATGTCTCTCTTATGATTATGTTACCGTTTTAGTTCAGTCTATCAAAAAATAAAAAAAAAATAAAATGAAGTTTTTGGTTGAAATGTGACAAAGTTAAACATTTTAATGAATGCAAACACTTCAGCAAGGCACCTCATGGTCTAATGTGGTGAGACTTTATGGGTGGGGGGGTATATATTTAAAGATGACTAAAGTTTTTTTTCAGCTCAGGAATCATGTCTTTGCTGTCTGGCATCCTTAGGTTGACAGGTATAGTGCCCTACGCTCTAAACCTAAAAAGCCTGGAGCCACAGCCGCAGGCCAGGGTAAACCAGCGAGGAAAGCCAAAGATAAGCAAAGCGCCACGCTGAAGGGCTCCAAGAAGACGACTTCGGAGAATCAACCCGAGAACCGGCCGGCAGTCGGGGACAAGGAGAAAAGTAAAGAGATCAACAACAAACTGGCTGAGGCAAAAGAGTAAAAATCATTTAGCACTACTTCTCCTTTTCTTTCTTTCTGTGGGATCAAACATGGGCTGCAAAATTGGTTCCAACTTCTTGTCTTTGTTTTCGTCTTTCTCTACCTGCTTACTTGTTCTCTGCTTCGTCCTTCTTCTCTGTCCTCTCACTACCTCCTGGCTACATTTATACTCCAGTCCCATGTCCGGGTGTGAACATGACACGCCATTGCTCTTCCTGTCTCACTCTGTACTAGATCGCTATAGTAACGAGTGGGCGGAAGCTTCCTCTTTCTGTCTCTGCCATTTGATGCTACCCGCCTCCCCCACCCGCTGCTCACCACCATCTCCAGGTTGCCATGGCTACTTGGCTGCCTCGCCAACCAATTGGATGACTGTCGTTGCATGGGCTCATTTACAAGCACGTCTGAAGGGTTGGCTTTGATCAGCTGAGCAGATTGCTTAGTAGAGTTTATCAAGGATTTGTCTCTCTTCCCTTTTTTTGTTCTTTTTGGAAGAAAAAAAAAATGACTTATTGGCTCTTTTTTATTCAATCTTCATTTGTTTTTAAAAAGAAAATCTTTGATAAATGTACCGCTTGGTTATTCATGATGTGTCTGTGATCCACAGCTTTGTCTGTACTTTTCTGTCTGTGTTTAAATATATCTCCATCAATGCTTTGGTAAATGTGATTTCCTTTCTAGTGCTTTATTATAAACTCTGTTCAATGATAGTAAATGTCGTAAATCATCTAAAGATCCTGCTCCCACCATTCAGCATCTCCTTCTTTAACGTATAACGCCCCATTTGTTTCTAGAGGGGCGGTTTAGTTGTATTAGAGCGATTATGCATTAAGGTCGAGCCCTCAGGAGAACAGAGCAGGATTCCCTATGAATTACATAACGCTGTGATGCAGACATAACCCTTTTAAACCAAAGCAGCACTACCATTCTAGTAATACGAGAGGGAGGCGCTTATGGAGCAAATGCTGGTCCATTATTTTTGTAGCAGAGAACATGTTATGTAAATAGAAATTTAAAAAGAATGCAATCCAGAAATGAAACTTGCTTTGCATTAATTCACTCAAATGGATGGAAACATTATTATTATTATTATTATTTTTTTTTTTAGTTTTCCCTAAATTGGCATCACATTTGGAAGGAACACTGCTACTGTCGTTGTGGCAAAATACAACATGATGATGAACTAAAAGCATCAACGACAATGTCAGTCATAGTGTAGTTAAACATATATCATGGCAGCTTTTTCAGCATTAGTTCAGGGAATACACCCTTTCAATGAATGTCCATTTTACTAAATCATTCATCATATTTCTAAACATCTATCCAAGAACTAATGCAATGCCCTCATGTTTATTGTCATCAGTTCTCATTCTTATTACATCATTAATCCTCCAGCGAACACAGTTCATGCATAACATATGCACTATCAGCATGTAGTTAGTCCACCTGAGCACTGTCCATGTATGACAAAACCACTATTAGTGTATAAATGATGCAATCACTACATATTTAGCATAAGGTTCACATAAGACTAGTAAATATGCACAAAAACTGTCATTTTTTAAATAGAGCAACTCAGTTTGGCATTTTTTTCCTTCACTGGTTTGGAAGTTAATTGTGTTCTGGTCTTCATGCTAGACCAGAAACATGTAGAGTTCGGTTCTGCATTATTGACATTGTTTATTAAAAACATGATGCAGGATGAGCTTTATGTGGTTCTGTCTGTAAATAGAAATTTTCAATAAATTTCCCCCTAAATCTCTCCCAGCACTAAATGCTTGATTGCGATAAAGACAGACTTTTATCACAAATACCATCAACTGTATTAAACTAAAGTGGTAACTAGTCTGACAGCGTAACAGAGCGACATACCCCGTCTTTTAATGATAGTTTAAAATCTAAATTATCCATAATTTCATTCAGTAACCTAATAGGCTCTTGTTTTGTTACTTCAAAATATTTCTTGTCTAATAATGTGCAAGACATTTTTTTTTGTATATATTCAGTTTTTTAATTACATGTACTACTTGTTTTTTTAAATTCAGCGTAAGAAAATCGCTGCTCGTTTTTAATGAAAGACCCCCCTCGATACAAGAGAAAACTGTTTAACCCTATAATGCCAAATGTATCATATTTCATACATACGGTTTCTGAAATGTTTTGCGTCTGACACCTTTTGCATAATTTAATGGTAAAAACTTTGCTCAAAATCCTATTGTACACAATCAGATATACCTGATAACAGAGGGCAGAAGACTACACAAAAATTTATCTTGACTTATCGCATAGTAATAAATTATTAATATCAAAAATGTATTTCTGTTTTTTTCTTTTTACATATTTTGTTAAAAGGGAAAATAAGGAATTCAAACCAAAAAAAAGTAATTTTCTGTTTTGTTTTATTCTTGGATCAGGCTTTAAAGGGTTAAAAACAAACACCCTGCCTATCAGTTATTTGTCATTTGATCAATACAATCAATTAACTCAAGATTAGCTTATCAATCAACGACTTGCATCCCTATTTAGAATAAATTTTGTTAACTGGTGCTCCAATGATGTTCTATTCTAATTTTAAGATCTGCTCTAAAAGATCTTATTTGTTGAGCAGTCAGAAATAATTTGGTCTTTTCATTTAGTTCCCAGCTGGTCGGTGGAAAGCTTTTGGAAATGCATATAAATGCCTTTTAATACAAGCATCACCATAATCTTCCTTTCTTTGCATTCATTTCTGGGAGCAGGAGCACAGCTCCATCAGAGGGGTCATGTTCCAGCTCAGAGAAGCCGTGTAAAGTCTGTTCACTGTGTCACATCATCAGCTCAACATCTCCTCCTTCATTTAGAACGACTGAAGGTTCTCTGTCTCTGTTCCGTCTCTTCAGCAACCATCACCGCCGTTCATATCCGAGCTGAACGCCAACCCCATCTGGGACGATGGCCCGACTCATTAGCGTTTTGCAGCCTTTGATTGGGGATGGTTTGGAGGGTGGGGGTACCTTGTCATGTAACACAAGGGGGGAGGGGCTTTTTAATGTAAAGTAGAACACCAACACTCGGTGCTATCTAAATGTATTTATCAGGCAAAATAAGGATAGAAAGTATGCTGAAGAAAGTAATGTCTTGGACAAAAAATAAACTGTGACGTGCTTGTGTTTTATCTGCTTGATCTTATTTAATGAAACATAAATAAATGCGAAACGCAGAAAAAGCGGTGTCTTCTTTGCTTCTTTTGCTGAGAGGAATGGTTAAAGGTTAGTGGGTTGCAGGTATCTGTCAGCGCTCCCCCTGTCCCAGTCTTTGCCATTCAATCAGTTCTATCCACATGGAAGAGAATGCAGTTCTCAACCCCCCCCACTCCCCAGCGCTATGCTTAGCAAGGATGCATTTCGGCATGAGCCGGGGCATCTCTTCCAACACGCATGTTTTCCTCTCATGGGAACTGAAGAATATATTATTTTTGCATCACGTCTCAATATATTCCAAGAACTCATCCTGTTTATAGAGCGGCATGTGTGTGAAGAGAAGAAGCTCATTCCAGAATATGATGTCGATGCTTCAAGCTACATCCAGAAACATAGATGTATGATGTTAGACGTACCCCTCTCCTGTATGTTATTTCTAAGTGTTGTTATTATCAGATGATGCTGTGTGCAGTCTGTTCTGTGCTAATGAGTGACATTCTGATTCATTTGAAGGGTTGTGCTAAAACAGTACCACTACATACAACTCTGCCAGCCAATCCGAGATATTGGCTGGGTGCAGACTCTAAAGCAACACCTGTGGGGCTGTGCACTACCCAATCCCAGGTAATCCCAATCACAGGAGCAGAGAAAGCCAAACGCAGCCAGAAACGCCTCTCATTCATACCTGCTCATGGAGTTATTTGCTTTTCTTGTTTTTCTACTACAGTGGCACTGTTTTGTTTTTTTCTTTTCTGTTCTGAACAAACCACCACATTGTCTTTGCTCGACTCCACTCCGTGTTTCTCTTCCATATGGAGGCTTTGAGTTGGGGGGAGGGTGTGGCGGAGGCCGTCCGCCTGCCTGCCTGCTCTCACATTCTACCCATGCAAAAATCCTCATGTTGGCTCCTCTTTAGGAGGTCTGAGGTGCGGTCCAGTCATCTCCAACCATTCCTGAACCAGCTGCTGTAATGCATCCAGCCTTCATGATCTCTGGATACTGCATGATCTTTTTTTTTCTTTTGAAAGGTGACCCTCTCATACAGTTCCTTGCAAAAGTCTATCCTTTCAGCGATTTGTCAAACACAGTCTTCAGTGCAAATTTATGTGTGATAAACCAACCAAAAGGGACACATTACTGTATAGTAGGAAATAATTAAGGCTTATTTGACATGAAAATCTAAAAAAAAACAGGTTTTTGGAGAACGTTGGTGAACATGAGGACCAAGAAACAAACAGGTCAGGGAGGAAATTAGAGAAATATTACAAAAACAGTATTGGATTTTAAAAGACTTAAACTTTCAACTTCTCAAACATAGCTATTCAATCCATCATCTAGAAATTAGAAGGATGATTCATAAATTTAGAATTTTAAAGGAGAGCATGATGCTATGATCAGATAAAACCAAAACTGGACTATTTGCAAACATACCATGAAACAGGGTGGTGGCAGCATCATGCTATAACCAAAGGAGCTAATTAGACAGGGATCCTGAAGAGTGTTCACATTTGAGACCAGAATGGGTGTTCACCTTCTAACTGAAACATTTACGGTTGTCATAAACTGGTATTTGACTCATACAATCCTTCTCAAGCTCTTTGAAATTATGTTTAATAATTTTCAGGAAAAGAAAAGTCAGTCTAGCTCGTTCTGATCTCCTTTCATATCCCCTTTTTTTAATGGCCTCCAGAAGAATTTAGCAATCATTTATTTCCCTGTGTCTTACACGATAGGACCCAATTTGAATACTTCAAAGATGTGTGGACTATTAAGCAACATGGGACGTTCTACCATGGTTGCTATGTGCTACCTAGATAGTGCTAACATTAAGGACGGAGCTATAGTTAGGATGCAGTATGCCTATTAGCGCCACTGTAGTCAGCATAGGAACCAGCTGGCATCGCTTGCTGCCACTAGGCGCTCTAAGATTGACCCACAATCCTTTGCATGAAAGGACATAAAGTCACAACCCTAATTTCACAGAGTTCAACAAAAATGTATTATTTTGTCACATTAACTGATTGTAACACATGCTAATGTCCACACCCCCGTTTTATATAACGGAGAGCTTCAGCTGTTAGCTATTTTTGTTTAACTTTTGATTTTTTTTTTTTTTTTTACCAGAAGGCTGTTATAACCAGTCTATGTGAAACCACCGCATTTATGACATCTGTAAGGTTTGAGGCTGTCTGGATTCAGCGCTACAGTCCATAGCGGTATTTCCTACCCTGGATAATGTTCTTACTGTTGACCTAGCAGAAGACCCTGATTGATGGTATCACCCCTTTTAGTGGAATAGAGATGGTGTGGTGAAAGCAAGGCTGACCAACAGGCCACTCTCACAGTCCAACAACAACACACAAAAATGTATAATAGTCGGTCTCGATAGATGGCCGCTCACACCAAGCCTGGTTCTGCTGGAGGTTTCTTCCCGCCAAAAGGAATTTTTTTCTCTCCACTGTCGCTACAAGCATGTTTAGTGTGAGGGATTGCCTTGACTATGATTGCCATCATACAGTCAATTTGATTCTAAGTTTCCTATCTAAGGAAAACCAGTTGATTGCATCGACTCATTGGCTCGAATGAAATAACTCACACTAAGCAGCTGGTTTTTCTTAAATAGAAAACTTTGAATCAATCTGACTGTATGATCTGGTGAACTGTAAAGTGCCTTGAGATGACATTTGTTGGGAATTGGTGCTATATAAATAAACTGAATTGAAGTAAATTAATCAGATATTGTCCATCAATGATCTATTTAGCTAAGAGACAGTATTTAGAGTATTTGTAAAAAATCTAGTAAGCTTGATTATAAAACAGGATCCATTGTACAATCATGCTCCACTTTGGATTGGACCAGAAAATTAAATCTTTGGTTGATTTATCAGAGACTGCACACCTAACGGGATGTTGATCTGTTTTACAAGGTCTCGTATAAGAAGGGTCTCTCATGTGCTCTGCTCACATGAACATGGCCTCTTTTTTATGGCAACTGAAGTCGACGGTTAATTTACCTCTGCACTCTAACTTTTGGTTTTTTTTGCATTAAACTGTGTTTCTAAAGCATGCCACCACTGTTTTCTGTTGGACCTGCAATCTGAGTTTCACTTCCATATAGTGGCCTAGGCTTTGCCCTCTATCTTGAACAAGAAAGGATATAAGATGGAGGGTAAGTATGAATGGAATTAGGGAAGCAACGGCACCTTGGAAAGACACATTTCAGAGGAAATTGTAAGTGCATGCTAATGATTTAATGGTTCCTTCTGATTTTTTTTAAGTCTGTTTTTTTCTGGTGGTTGAACTTCATTTCTTTATCTGTATTTTGAAAGAACACTGTGAGACCCTCATTCAACAAATAATATGATTGGAGCAGATTTAAAATGTGGACTTTTGTCATTTGCAAATACTTTTTTTATATACTTCCTAAAGATGATAATGAGCGGTCTCAGGGTGAAAAGCTCAACCCCAGAAGTTGTGTTTTGCCAAATTCAAATCCCTCATCTTGTGTCTCTTTTTGTCTCTTTCTCTGGTATCTAAAAAAAAATATTCTGCCTCCTAGAGATTCTAAAGATGAGGTTCTCCG